GTTAGTTCAACTGGAAGACGTCAAAGTGTCTGTGTTCGTTAAGAAGTTACGAGTGAATAGGCACGTATCTGATTAGTGTTTGCAATTTACGTTACGGCAGAAAGAATGTTTATTTCGAACGTGCCAGCGGTGGAGCTGCAAAATATTCATGTAATATTCAGTCTATTTTTTTAACGATTTCAATATGCGACATCTGTATGTACACTTTTGCGACGTCATAATTTTTTTTACGTTTTCTTTTTAATAAATGAATTAAATGCCTTATTTTTTTAACTCTGTAACGCCACGTGACTTATCTGTTTTTATTTATTTACTGTTATACTATTGTATTATTACCAGCCAATTTTTTTTATGATAATTACAATTTACAAATTTACAATAATTATTTTTTATATTATAAAGTATAAAATAAACGAAGAAAAATGGAGTTTTAGAGGGTTTTAATACACAATTTGACGCCAAAAAGATTACCGAAGTTACATTTCAAATTTTCTCCAATCACCCAAGTTCTATTTCATCTTCGTTAAATTTTAAATTTACCAGATGCACGTAGACTTTCGCGACAGAGTGTAGTTCCAGCACAGACGTCACATTGCTTAAGGAATTCGGTTCGAAACACACGTTTGTATTTACGGTCGGTCGCTCTCTTCGATAAAGTCCTATAAATAATCATCTGTAACGTCACATCGATCAAATTTCACGACGAAATCTGCGTTGCAGTAGAATTTGTCTCGCGTTTGAAAATTCACGATACATATTGACGTGCAGAAGCCGCAGTTAGTCGAGTAGAGCGGATGCACGCTCGAATTATCATTCGGATGAACACGAAAGAAACCGATTTTCTGCTCGATAGTTCGCGCGCGCGACAAGTGTTCCTTACGTTTTTTCTAAGTTTTATCGATCGTTGATAAAACAGAGAAGGAACAAGTGTGAATGTATTTATGTAGGATTGATACGTTTTAGGTTAGGTCTTGATCGTGTTATCTACATAGTAGAGGGTTAGATGAATCGGCGGTTTTATTGGCTGTGCCAAGATGCTTCTATTACTTCCGTGCCATGAACAATTGCGTCTTATTAGCAGTTATTGTTTTATGAGCGGAGCAAGTGTCGTTTCGACACGGTTCTTTTTCTTTCGCGATGTTACTACATTTACGCCTCCACCTCTTCTTTGCTTAGATCTTGCCGAGTGACAGAGATAGAGAGGGTTTACCTTGTGTTTTATCGTACAGAATACTGATCGAATGATTCTTGTGTCATGTTCTAAATCAGTCGTGTGTTACGTGTTGCTACGATTTTGCATCGAGAATCAGAGCATTCGAGTGATTCGGATTCTTTCGAATAGGGGATTCTTTGTTTGGATAATTTTAGTATTCGGTGCAATCCGAAATTCAAACGATCCGAATATTTGGCGCAATCCGAAATTCAAACGCTCCGAATATTCGAATTCTTTATTCGGTGCAATCCGAAATTGAAACGATCCGAATTTTCGGCGCAATCCGAAATTCAAACGATCCGAATATTCGGCGCAATCCGAAATTCAAACGCTCCGAATATTCGAATTCTCTATTCGGATAATTTCAATATTCGGTGCAGTCCGAAATTCAAACTCTCCCAATATTCGGCATAATCCGAAATTCAAACGCTCCGAATATTCGAATTCTTTATTCGGTGCAATCCGAAATTAAAAGATCCGAATTTTCGGCGCAATCCGAAATTCAAACGATCCGAATATTCGGCGCAATCCGAAATTCAAACGATCCGAATATTCGGCGCAATCCGAAATTCAAACGATCCGAATATTCGGCGCAATCCGAAATTCAAACGATCCGAATATTCGGCGCAATCCGAAATTCAAACGCTCCGAATGTTCGAAATCTTTATTCGGATAATTTTAATATTCGAAATATGCGAAATATTCGGCGTAATCCGGAATTCAAACGCTCCGAATATTCGAATTCTTTATTCGGATAATTTCAATATTCGGTGCAATCCGAAATTCAAACTCTCCCAATATTCGGCACAATCCGAAATTCAAACGCTTCGAATATTCGGGGCAATTCGAAATTCAAACGCTCCGAATATTCAAATTACCCGAATTTTTCGAATAATTCTACTGGCATTCAAATATTCGAACACACCGAATATTTAAATTTTCCTAACATCCCTAATCGAGAATTCTGAGGAACTCTCATAAAAGTAGGACACCTTGATAATTTTTTAATTCCTAATTGCCGTATCTTAGAGATTTCTTCAATTGAATAGTCTCGAGGCAATAGTACAAGATTCGATCTAATTTTGTAAGGAGAAATTCCGACAAGCGTATTCATGTTTATGACGACAGTTTTTAAAAGAAGCTCCTCGAACCGTTCTTACGTCGGAATCTGCAATTCTGTTCTATATCAGAAGTTATAACAATGCTTGTCTCGTTACTTGGAACTCGAACAAAATCAACTTATTCTTTTACCGAGAATTATAAGGCGACCCGTTTTCCACTGAGAAGTCTAACAAGCTTTGCATTCAAGACAAATATCTCACCGGCGTTAAGAACTGTAGAATCAGAGTCGACTCGTTAACTTTTGTCTCCTGTTTTCATAGCGAAACTTCAAACTCAATTATTATACTCTCGTTTTATCTTCACCACAGAAAGAAAGAAAGCAGACAGACGTCGATGCAATTCCAAATAAATTCCAAGTTAAAATTAAACGAATTTTTCATTCTCTTCTCTTAATTAGATATTCACGCGTGTAATGCTGTTTCGATGTTAATTTAAAACCTCGTATCCTTTGAAATTTATCTCCGATAACACTGTAGATATACACATGTACATATGTATATACCTGCGCGATGAAATTTCTCACTTTTCAATCAGTGGGCAGAGCCACGTTTCGTTCAACGAAAAATGAGAGAAGTTTCGGCCTCGGTTCGTTTGGAAAATTCGAAGCGGGATGAATAGTTGCTCGCGTGATTTATACGCCTGTGGAGCTTCGATACGCTTGCGATTTAAACATCGAGCGAGCGCGCGCTCGTGAATTAGATATTGACCGGGGCTTCCGGTCGGGAGCATGGAAATTTCCATCGAAGAATCGAACAACTTTCAGTTCCCTTTCAATTTTTATTATTACTTTGTCTCTCTTGAAATCTTTATTCGCTCACTTTTTACCGGAACCTTCGTCGAATGTTCGATCTAATCGACGATCGCAGTTAATAGGATTCAAATTTGGCGGGAATATTTT